AAGACATTACGAAGAACTTGATTTGCCCATATGTGTTGGGAAATGGTATTTTACTTCATATTGACTACTGTGATTACCCTTGCCACTGTGTGGGACAAAAAGTTAAAATCACCTGGAGTTTCTCAAGAGCAGGAATCTTCTTCTGGCCTGCAAAGATAACATTCCTGAATGAGTGATTAGAGGCGCCCAAAGGAGCTGGTGTAAATTATAGTCCCTAAGGAAGTACTTCCTATTCCTAGTAACAAGGCTCTAGTCAGATAAATACCTTTTCATCAGGCAGTGAGAACAGATTTGCTGCCAGGAGCAGAGAGATTCTCCAGATGCCACTATACCATGTGGGGCATCATTGGCATAGTCTGATTAGCTCCCATCATTGAATTAATTCACATTCACGCCTTAAGATGTCTCCACATGACAGAAAATTCTAATTTTGAGAAGGAATAGCAGAGACCAGTGAATAAAAAACAGGACATATCACACATCAAACTATAGATGATCAAGTCTATCAATGACATTGATCTACATGTGAACTTCCAGAAGTTATCTTGCTTCTCAGAGGCCCTTGTTCCTTACTCACATGACAAAAATGAAAATAGAAGAGGTGTGTTTGTGTGGGGTGGGTTATATGAGGTGATGCCTCAGAGCTTTCTATTCCCTAACACTGAGGAAATCATCAGTGTGTGACAACTCATAAACTGAAAGGATATGAGTGAAAGCAAATGTCATACGCAAACAATATATTTTTGACCTTGACACACATGATTTCCTCAATGATGTTATTTTTCCCTAGAAATGTCCATTTTAAGGTGCCAGTTCATATTTCTTACATCTGCATAGTGCCCCAGGATTCTAGACAGAGAGCCAGGGTGCACGCAGTGGTGGTGTATGCAGATACAAGCACATGGCTAATCCAGTTGTGTTAATCTTAAATATACATCAAGTTTATGATTTCATGTATACTTGAATATCAAATAATTTTGAAACAAATAAATCCTGCACCAGATATACTGAGAATGGTCTGCACAAGTCATCAATTCATTATGACAATTCTATTTTTGGAAACTTGTTTTTCTACATTTTGCTTCTAAGTCTGTTCTAAACATAATGAGCTTAGATACATATTAAACAAATCATTTTTATCTTTTTCTGAGTATGTCAATTCTAGAGGATTAGTTTAGCCTTATTGCAAATGCAAGAAAATATAAAATTATAAAATTAGTGAAATGTCAATAAATAAATTAAAAGCAATATTTAAATAAGTCACTGACTTTTAAACATTCCACTATGCATGTGTTTGTATCTGTACACACACATAGACACATATTATTCTGTTCCATATTTAGGGTTATATTAAATATCAGTTTATAAGTTTTCTTTAACAATATATTATTGTAACTTGTTTTATATATTGTTACACACACACATATATATATATATATACAATAACTTGTTTTGTATATTGTCACTGATATGTGCACACACATACACAAATGTACACATGTGTATCAGTAAAATACATATGCATGAAACATGTATTAAAATTTGAATCTTTAAAAAAAGTGTAGTTTCCATATTGTACAATGCAAGTGTATTCCTTTCAAATGGGAATTGTTGTTTTCTATTTCCACTTTTGTTAGCAGCACTACAGTCCATATCTTTGTGAAAATATCTTTGCTGAAAAATTTATTGCTACTGTTTGAATGAATTTCCTGAAATGGAATTGTTGGCTTGATGCATAAATCAACACATTTTTTTACAAATCTGTTATTGATTTTTGTCTGCAGTATTGAAACAGTATCTTAGTTGGTACAAGCTTCATTTTCTACTTTTCCTGCTTTTCTTCACAGCTGCTGCCCAAAAAATGCATTCTGAGCTCCTTTATTCTCACTTGATCTCATACTCAAGCCTTGATCATGCTTCTTTTTCAATTTGAATGAGTTTTTGTGAATTTCATATAGTAGTTCTTAATTAAATTTAGACTCCCTCCTCCATTTATGCTCCCACATACCACCCCGCTCACTGGGTCCCATGCATTCTATCATATATGTTAAGTCCTATCTGGTTAAACATTGTACCCAGATGTCCTTCAGTGAAAGTTTATCCACTGTAGTCTAGACAGCCTATTTAGAGATCTTAAAGATGATCTACTCTCCCTCACCCATCAATAATCAGTGCCAACAGTTCCCAGACTAGGGTCAGCTCACTGTCCATTTTCCTCTCTCCATGCTGGGCCCTTGACTGATTAAGTCAGCGTGAGTCATGTGTATTTCCTCAAGTTCGCATGAGCAAGCTTCCAGTTGTCTGAAAGCCTCTGTTTCCCTATGTTCATGGACCAAACATGGCTCTTACAATCTTTCTGACCCCTCTTCCAGAATGGTCCCTTAGCCCTGGGTGGGTGTGCTTTAATATAGGAGTTCTATCCAGGGACACACACTCCCCAGTCTCTTATTCTCTAAATCTTGGTCAGCTGTAGTCTCTGTGTTCAGCACACTCTGTTATATAAGGAAGCTTCATTGGTGAGAGTTGAGAGATGCACTGGTTTCACTCTACCCCCGTTCCTCTATGTTCCAGGAGCCCTAGGTATAGAAGATTCACTGTCGATATGTTGCCTAGGACTGATTATCTCTCATACATATATTCTTTGTGTGTGACCAGTTGTGGAATTCGGTAATAACATCCATCTCTTGCAAAAAGAACCTTTGTCTACTTCTATTGGTGCAACAGTGGCACTATTATCTGGGGGTAATCAACAGCTATGTAATTGGACTTAAGGCCCTCTCAGTGGGAGGGAACGCCTGGCTGGCACTGTAATTAAGGACAAATATACATGAGAGAGAGGTCATAGATCCTAGAGAAAACCATATCTATGTCAAATCTCTAGACAAATGCAATTTCTTACCATATGCTAAACATGGATTCTTATATATCATATGCCACGGATCATGCTTCTGTAGTTACTTTTTAGCCTGCTCCTTCATATAAGTAAGGAACTCCTAAAATCGACTTCTTCTCCCCTTAAACTAATGTCATAGCGTATTTTAATAACAGTATTTAAAAGACACAATAGAATGCAAAGATACTTATTAGACAATGAAAAATATAATTTCAGCTTTCTTTGAAAGTAGTAACTCATTTTTGTTTGCCATTTTCTAAGCTAAGCACCGTATATGCAATATATAAATAGTAAATGCTATTTCTAATATTTTCCTTGTGATAAATATCTGAAGCTCAGAATAAAGCGTCATCATTTTCTAGGAGCAGATAGCTTCTGAATAATATTTTTGCATTACATCTCTGGTTATACAGCTCCTGTTCTGTTCTTAAGGATCAGTGTGCTCCTTTATTTGGATATTCAGAAACAAATTCTGGGTTTTTCCAGAAAACCAAAGGCATGTTTCTGGACACTAATTAGTATGTCACACACATGCATATGTGTGCACGCACACACACACACAAACACAAATTTAGATCAGAGAAAGCCTATGATGATTTTATATTTTTAGTAAATATCTATTATTTGAATCTATAATGAAAGGTCATTGTTCCTATGTGACTAAGAAATCCTAATTGTAAGACCATTCACATAATCAAAATGAGGCTGATACTGAGCTCTGCATCAACAATTGGTTTGTAACCAATTTCAGTCATTATATAAGAAAATATTGTATTCAGTGTGTATTTAAAATGGTATAAGAAGCCATGGTAAATTGGATGATCTTTAAACAACTCTGAGCTCACATACTTAGAGTCATTCCATGTAAGCTCAGCTTAGTCTGAAGGTTGACTGGCGTCACTGATTAGTGGATCAGCTGAGCCTCCTGTTGCATCATTTTTTTGGTAATAGCTTAATCCAGAGATTTCTCTATTCTAGCAAAAGCAAAGCACAAGAAAACAAATAGAAGCACATCTCTTGGGTACTATACTTCAAAATAGCACACTATCCCTTTTACTTCATTTTGTGGCTAAAAACAAGTCTGATAACTATACTCTCAGACAAGGAGTGGGTAATACAGCCACTACACTTTGTGAGAAATATCAGAAAGTCATGTACAAAGAGTATGAAGATAGGAGGGTGGAAGAAGTGGGGCAGCAGATGAACTGCACCACCAAATAACTGGATTCATTCGACAATGTATTGTTTGAAAATGCATTGTTTCCCAATAAAGATATTAGTCTTTACTCTTACTTAATCCTGGGCTACAAAGCCACCCTTCTGGTTTCCTGAGGGAAGGAAGGATGTTGCAGACTTTCTGGTCAGATATTTTCCTCCTATGAAGTGATTTTGCTCATGTTTCCTAAGAACCTCTTTCTCTCTTGTGTGCCTCTGATTTTAGTTTCCAGGGCTAAAACCTCTTTGTAAGTGACTCATTAAACCAATCACCACTCCATCCACCCCCTCGCCCTCAAACCACAGCGTCCAGAGCTGTGGCTGGTTGTCACACGAACATGACAACCAGAATCCAGAATTCTTATTCAACTTGTGCCAAAAGCAAGCCTTAAGGTTTAAAGGGAACATTTGAGAATAATTGTGTGCAAGAAAAATAGCATGCTTGCTGGGGAAACCAGATCCTAAAGGGCCTACTCTTCACTCACAGTGAGTTCAGCGGAAATTGGAGGAGGGACTCACCCAGGAGCATGACTGAAGATAGAAGGCAGGAAATGCCTAAAGAAGCTGAAGGGTGAATAGATTTTGTCTAAAAAGATAAGTCAGCTAACCAGAGTGAGAAGACATGAACCAAATTTACACACACGAATAATGGAAATGATCTCCCAGAATCCAATTTGGGAAGGAGTGGGGTGAGATAAGAGAGCTCTGAGTGGCTAGTGATGAGAGAACAAAGAGTTTAGCGACACCGGAGACAGATGGGAACTGGTTCCAAGGTGTGGTAGAAGAGCTCCTGGCAGTGGAGAGAAAGCTTTTAAAAAGCAGTTTACAAAGAAAGTTAGAGTTTTTGCAAAGGTCACATATAAAAAATTTGTTTATCTGCTTTCCTTTCCAGGCCAGTTTAAACCGCAATCCATGGAACAGCCTATAAAGTAACAAGGAGGAGAAATCATCACAAGGAGGCCTTCGCTTCAGCAGGTAAGGGGGGGAAACGCCGTCTGAACGTGGCGTTGGGGTCCTCGCTTGGTGTTGATAGCAAGTGGAAGCCAGAAATTAGCTTTAAGATTATTAACATCTTTATGTTCTTATAGCCAAAGTATTTAGCATAGAAATTTGAGAGGAAAGTTAAAAATGCAATCAAGTAACTAATTTATTTCAAAATTCTAATATATGGAATATTGTTTCTTGATTACAGAGCTTGCTTTGGTATATTGAGAGAAATAGCTGTAAGAATGGAATGTTTTAATATTTTCTTTTTTGTTAATTAATTTTATTTATTCTTGAAACTTTAATATATATGTATAAATATATAATGAAATATGGTTTTATCCTTCTGCCATTTCCTCCTTCCAACTCCCTGTCACATTTCCCTGCCAACACATCCTCCTTCCTTCTTTGTATTTTCTCAGTTTTTTGGTTTGTTTGATAATCTTCTAAGTTCAATGAGTACCACCCACATGCACACAGGTATGGGAAACATACTTCATTTTCATATACTCCAACTTACTGTAATTCTATGTTATAATCTGAACAATCCATATATAAATCCCCAGAACATTTCACGTTATGAAAGTTCCAATTTTTCATTGATAAATACATTTTTAAATAACCAATTATTTTGCATCACAGTGTAATCTAAAAATAAGAACAATACAAGAAACTAACAAGGTATCTTGATTTAGGCCAGTGAGACAGATCTGTGGGTAAAAGTGTTTGCCACTTGATGCCTGAATTCAATTGTTAGAACTCACGGCAGGATAGAACTTTCTACGAAAGGTTGTCCTCTGACTTTCCCACACCTGTCATGAAATATAAGTGCTCACATTCACACATACACTCATCATATGCACACACATGAACACACACACACACAAATCATAATAGCAAATTTTAAAAGATATACAGCCTGATTTGATATGATGAAATATCACTTGATACCCTGGTAATATGTGTTAATAATATGCTAATCATTTAGAAAGCAATTGTTCAAATCTCACTTGACCTAATTACCTTAAGTGTCTAACAGTCCCATCCTCATACCAAAATAAATGTCTTGGACACAGTGTGCAGAAATATTCATCAATATACTGGCACATATAGGCACTTCTAACTATGTAACAAAATTTTGAAGGGTCAGGATATTTATATGGGAAGGAAATATTGTGCAACGATGTTCTACCAATACTGCTAACATGATAGCATGAATTATTCCTCTACGAAAATGGAAAAAAAAATTAAATGGATATTTTTGGGTGTGCATTTGTGTATGCATACATAAATGTTTGTATATGTGTAACTATATACACATGAATATAACCTATATTTATGACTATGTGTATATATTAAATAGGCTTTATAAATGTATACAATTTATCCCTATACCTCCTACTATCAAATGCCTCTATCTCCCTATTATCTATCTATCTATCTGTCTATCTATCATCTATCTATCTATCTATCTAATCTATATATCTATCATCTAGCTATCTATCATCTCTATCTAGCATCTATCATCTATCTATTTATCATCTATCTAGCTATCATCATCTGTCTATCATCACCTATCAGTTATCTATCTGTCAGCTATCTATCTCTCTCATTCTATTTATCTAACAATTTATGTAACTTCCTAGCAGCTATCATCTTTCATCTACAGGAGGTACCATTCATTGCTATTCTTGCCATGGAGAAACATGAAACTGAGAAGCTCTGTTTCTTCCTGGGACAATAGTATATTTATTAGCTCGTAGTGGTTCTTTTTATCTCTTGTGAAAAAATAAATGTCAAATATTATGACTTCATTTATATGAATCTATTTTATCTCCCATAAGATGACAGCATATATACACATATATATGTATAGATAGATAGATAGATAGATAGATAGATAGATAGATAATCGATAGATAGATAGGTGATAGATGTATAAAATGAAGGTCTTTTTAAGTTCTAGATAGAATAGTATATTATTACAAAGTTTGGGAGGATTAATGTTTACTATTGACATGGAGAATTGGGAAAATATGGGAGTCCTGACAATTGACTAAAGCAAGAATTTAATAGAGAAACCAAAATTTCTTTCTAATTACATTTAAGGACAATATTCCTTCCACTAGAAGTTATAATTCAGTTATCATTTCCATAAATACTCTAGTTTTTAGGGAGTGTTTGTTATGCCACATAAACCTGTGAGAATCTATGTATTAAATTACAAATTGCCAGTTGTTGTGTACATTCTTGCTTCCTAAAGGGGTTAAGAACATTAGAGTAGTATGTGGAGAGAAAGCTTTTGAGCTGTTGTCTACATTTATGATCATATTGTTTCAATGTGTATTTTACTGAATTTTTGTGCATTTTTTTACAATACATCAAAATCATAGTTATACCCCTCCCTTATCTGCATCCTGCTTAGCCTTTCCAAGGGATTTCATTCATTCTGTCATCTATGTTAAGGCCTATCCAGTCAAATTTGTTTACTCAGTTGTTCCTGGGTGTATATTCATCCACTGAAGCCTGGTCAACCTATTAGCATCACTCTCTTAAAGAAGATCAACTCTCCCTCACCCAGGAGTGATCAGCTGTCAACAGTTCTCAGTTAAAGTTGGGGTCACTTGCCCATTTACCCAGCTCTATGCTGGTTCTTGTCTGCTTGATTTTGAATGGGTAATGTGCATGCTGTCACCATTGCAGTAAATTCAGATGAGCAAGTTCCCAAAGGCTCTTTCTACTCAATCTTCCATGATGGTCCCTGAGCCCTGGATGTGTGAGGTTAATATAGGAGTCCTACCCAGTGACACACACACACTGTATTCTTCTTTTTTTTCTCTACATTTTGGCCAGTTGTGACCTTCTGTGTTCTGTTGAATGAAGAAGATTCACTGTTGAGAGTTGTATTAGAATTTTTTCTACACCCTGTTCCTCTGTATTCTGTGAGCTTTAGGAATAGAGGTTCCATTATAGATGTGTCACTTATGATCATATTTAACACTACTTTCTGAAATATAACCTCCATTAGTTTATTTTTATTCTTTAAAAGGAAAGTTCTTCCTTTACCTGCAGATTGTTTCTATGTCAGTGACCAATTCATGTTTCCAGGAATGTAGCCACAACCAACCTGTCTAAAATAGTCTTTGACTTGTGTCCAATAAGATTTTGTGCTTCGATAAGACTAGCTGATGTATTCCCTACATGGAAATGGGCTGTAATATCTTTATGTTGGTTTTTATAGCTTTCCCACCTGGGGTACCTTTTCATCTTAACTAAGGTTTAGGTATCTTTTAAATAAGATCAGACTTTACCTCTTAGCATTTCTAGATCAACCTAAACTTTGAAAAATCTTACAGTCATCTGAAAAAAAATATTATCAATTTTCGTAGCAGAAAATTTTCCGAAATGCTAAAGATTAATGGCATTTCATGTTTTCATGTTAGCAAGGATAATTAACTAAATTAATGAGTTATAAAAAGGGGCTGTTTGTAAATTCAAGTAGAAGGTATTCTTTGAATTGACTTTTATTGCTGTAATTTTTCAACATATTTTAAATTTTGGTTAGTGAAAGAGAATATCTTGGCTAGGAAAATACTATCTCACTGCTTGAAAGAAGGAAGTATTGTAAATTTATGTGACACAAATACCATACTATGTTCCCAAAATACTAAGAATGCAAGATAAAGAATTCTTCTAATGCTAACAGTTGAACATAGTACAGTTGTGTTCCAGAGTCCAGTGAAAATTTAAAGCACCATTTCCCAATGCTTCTACCTTTCATTTCCTACCACATACCCACATCTATTAGCTGACTGGACTCTGCCCTCATCTTTGTGTCTCTTTTAGTCATGGCACAGTAGCCAGAATGATCATCTTAATGTCAATGACATTATTTAATTACTTTGTCTAAACATTCCAATGGGACTCTCTTACTATTGGGGATAAAATCCACGTGCCTTCCTATTACTTCAGTATTTTGAACCAGACTACCATTGCCTATTACTCTGGTGTTCATGCCACCAGAATACTGCTTCCTAGTTGCTGCTTGAACTTGACCCAGACTAGTGTGTGAAACCCTCCCACCATGCATGATCATGTTGGTATATAAGCCCTCCCTGGCCAGTGTGAAAGAAACACATCTACCGTTCAGCATTTGCTGCCTCTGCTTAACTTGTCCTCACACCAATCACTAATTTATATTTGGTATTTACTTAGGGAGTTCTTTGTTGTTAATTGTCACTAAAAAGAAATGCATATTGTTGAGCGCTGAGCAACCTCAGTTAGTGCATTAACATTTCCAAACTAGTGTATTAGAGTCATGCTCATGTAGTGGAGTCATGTTCGTTAGTAGAGTTAAGCTTATGTAGTTGAGTCATGTTTATGTAGTACAGTCATGCCCATGTCATAGTGTCATGCCTATGTAATGGAGTTATGCTCATGTAGTAGAGTCATACTCATGTAGTAGAGTCATACTCATGTAGTAGTCATGCCCATGTAGTGGAGTCATAGAGTCATGCTCATGTTTTAGAGTCATGACAATGTAGTAGAGCCATGCTCATTTAGTATAGTCATACTTATGTAGTAGAGTCATGCTCGTGTATCAGAGTCATGGTAATGCTATTCTTACATCTTCAGATGTAAAGAGTGAAATAATATACTTAAAATTTTTTGCTGACTTTATTGAGAATTTCATACAATGTATTTTGATTGTATTTAGATCCCATCCTCCATTTCTACCTCCATCCCTCCATCCCCACCAACTTCATGTCCTCCATTATTATTTTTACTTTTTAAAGGCCCACTGAGTCTAATTTTTGTCTCCTAAATGCCCTTTCTTATAAGTATATCCCTTGGAGTCTGGTCAATCTATGAGATGTTACATCTTTAAAGAAAGTTGATTCTCCTTTTCCCAGTAGCTATCAATCACCAACAGATCTTTATCCTCATCTAGGTGTAGGTTTTATTGCCTACCTCCACTATCCATGCTGGAA